AGTGAAGGGGGGAAGGGAGAGAAGGAGAAAGATTGAAGGGGGGAGATGGAGATAAGGGGGAAAGAGTGAGGAGGGAAATGGAGAGAGGAGGAGAGAAAGAGCGAGGGGAGGGAGAAAACAGGAGGTGCACACAGTGTTTTCACAGCCACCTTAGACGTCAACCAGTGTCAACCCTCTCCTATTTTGGTCCAATTCACAAACTTGGTTAATGCGCACCCCCTTTTTCTAAATCTTTAATCCGCCACTGTCCTTGTTGTAATTCATAAGAGTCTTAAATTTCCTGTACCAGAAAGTAATAAATGAAAAAATAAGTACTGGCATTTAATCTACATTAAATCATTAATACAACATTGTCAATATTTGTCGAAATAAAATTGCATCTGACCTAGTTACATAACAATGCATGGAGAAACATAACAATGTCCCTACCACCCTACTAATCCCACAAGTCACTAACATACAGAATAAATAAACAAACATGTTGCTATATTGTCTAGTGGTGTTGCTTGTAGTTAATGATGGCTACCTCGCTATGTGAACACACATGGTTCAGCTTCTGATCCCCAAGTATTGATATATGTCCTGTCCTGACTGATACACTTAATATGGTCATACCTTGACAGTTTGTTATTTCACCTTGTCAATCTGTCATCACACTCAGGCCAGTGACCGTTCCAAAAAGCAGTCTTAGCGCTAAGGTGATCGTAGCTCCCATACTTTAACATAGGCTTACAATTATCGTAGTGCTGAGGTGATTGTAACTCCCATACTTTAACATAGGCTTACAATTATCGTAGCGCTACGGTGATTGTAGCGCCCATACTTTAACATAGGCTTACAATTATCATAGCGCTAAGGTGATCATAGCTCCCATACTTTTAACATAGGTTTACAATTATTGTAGCGCTAAGGTGATCGTAGCTCCCATACTTTTAACATAGGCTTACAATTATCATAGCGCTAAGGTGATCGTAGCTCCCATACTTTAACATAGGCTTACAATTATCATAGCGCTAAGGTGATTGTAACTCCCATACTTTAACATAGGCTTACAATTATCGTAGCGCTAAGGTGATTGTAACTCCCATACTTTAACATAGGCTTACAATTATCCTAGCGCTAAGGTGATCATAGCTCCCATACTTTTAACATAGGTTTACAATTATCATAGCGCTAAGGTGATCGTAGCTCCCATACTTTTAACATAGGCTTACAATTATCATAGCGCTAAGGTGATCGTAGCTCCCATACTTTAACATAGGCTTACAATTATCGTAGCGCTAAGGTGATTGTAACTCCCATACTTTAACATAGGCTTAAAATTATTATAGCGCTAAGGTGATTGTAACTCCCATACTTTAACATAGGCTTACAATTATCCTAGCGCTAAGGTGATCATAGCTCCCATACTTTTAACATAGGTTTACAATTATTGTAGCGCTAAGGTGATCGTAGCTCCCATACTTTTAACATAGGCTTACAATTATCATAGCGCTAAGGTGATCGTAGCTCCCATACTTTAACATAGGCTTACAATTATCGTAGCGCTAAGGTGATTGTAACTCCCATACTTTAACATAGGCTTACAATTATCATAGCGCTAAGGTGATTGTAGCTCCTATACTTTAACAAATATATATAGACTTACAATCATCGTAGCTCTAAGGTGATCGTGACTCCCATATTTTAACATAGGCTTACGATCATTGTAGCACTAAGATGATGGTAACTCTCATACTTTACTTTTGGCTCTCTCACACACACACACACACACACACACACACACACACACACACCATGCTGACAAAATAATATAAAAATGTCCCCAGTGCACTTGTAAAAACCATACTCACTCACTGCAGTGCAAAAAGTAATTTCACTCACATTTTTTTTTCAATTACTCCATTTTAATTGTACATGGTATTTCATTAAGTGTCAGTTTTCAAGGACCCAATAATTTTGCTCAATTTTAGAAGTCATTTGTTTAGGTTGTTTGCCATCAACAACATATAATTTACGATCTTTCAATCATTTAAAGACACACATTGCATGTTTTTAAATGTAAATTTATGACTATTAATAAAATATATATTTTCTGTTGAAACAGATTTCAGTGGGTGTAAAAGACAAAACAGTGGTGGAAATTAATGGCATAATATTGTCATTAACATGATAAACAGCAATTTTGTAAACATTTGGTTGTAACACAATGATATCGATGGAGGCATCTGCCTGGTAAAGACAAGGTCACATGTAATTCAATCCATTGTCCAATATGTATTTGATGCAGATGTGACCGGACTAGCAAGCTCACTCTAAATTTAGGTTGACAGTGAAAGATAGGATCAGCTGAAATATATTGAAGACACCATCATGCACAAGTCCATGTTATTAATGTCAACAGCTATGCCAGCAGCAATTCCATACCTCTGTAATACGAGCTAATATTTAATAAATGGCAAATAAATTGCAGACATGTAGTTATGTCATGAAAATATGACACAGAGAAAAAAAAAGGTGGTTGGTTGGTTTTATTGCACTCAGCAACATTCCAGCTATATGACGGCGGTCTGTAAATAATCGAGTCTGGACCAGACAATCCAGTGATTGACATCATGAACATCAATCCACGCAATTGGGATCAGTAACATGCATCAACCAAGTCAGCGAGCCTGACCACCCGATCCCGTTAGTCGCCTCTAATGACAAGCATAATTGCCTTTTACATCAAGCATGGGTTGCTAAAGACCTATTCTACCCAGGATCTTCACGGGTAACCCAGCGAAAGAGGGAGGTCGCCAATTTTATAACTTTATGAAGGGGGAAACATGAAATATGTTATTATCATTTTTTAGGAGGGTAATAACAAAAATGTTACATGTTAATTGGGAGTCATGTAGAAATGAAATAAGGTTAGTTAACATCGGTAGTCCTCACATATGTTATGAATGTGAAATCATCACTGGTACAATAGGTGAGCTGAAAATGTTACCAAGGTCCAGAACAGGTCAGCTTTTCAGTATTTCCTCAACCCCTGACTAAATGTAGTGTTAGATTTGATGTCCAGTGGTGATGGTATGTGTAGGACTGTGAACTAAGGAGTGTGTGTGTGAGTGAGTGAGTTAAGGAGTGTGTGAGTGAGTGAGTGAGTGAGTGCATGACTAAATCTAGTTACACATTATTAATACATAAATTTATACCATAAAACCTGTTGGCAAAGGACAGTAAAAGACCTAGATTATTACAGATATAGACTTAAAACTAGTATTTAACCATAAACATTTATTAAATATGGGCTCCAGCAACCACCAGCAACCAAAGTTAGGCCACCATACTGGGGACCATGGCGACTTACAATACTTCTACTACCTGCATGGTTCCCCAGCAGGATTTACACCATCCCTTCAGTCACCAGTGATTATAGACAATTTTAGCCATCAATTAGAACTAACAAATATACGACGATTGTGGAAGGCCTAAATTTACATTGAATGATTAGGGACTACAAATTTACAGTACTTTAACCCTCTTTGATGATACAACGATTAACAATCTCAGTTGCTCATTTAATCTACCAATTTCAAAACTTTTAATTTTTGTTTACAAAACATTAATCAACATTTTAGAAACAAATATGTTTCCTTTAAAAACACTTTAATAAAATGAGAACTAATACAATTTCAAAGATTCTTAACAGATGATGATTTGAAATATTTATCCCTTGTGATGGCAAAATCAACAGTCAAGCAGGACATGCTTGACCGTGATTCTCTCACCACAAGGGATACAAAATATGATACAGTCCTTAGTCAAGACAAATCTCACAACAACATCTGCCCCCCAAATTAATTACCAGTTCCTAAATTTAGGTCATGATTATAACCATGAAATCCAGATCTTAGTGAGTAAAGTCATTCTGAACATTTTAAAAAGATTACAATTAAACTTAACTTTATCATACATATGATATTATGACATGTATTTATTCAATTAATTGTATTTCTTTTGTACATTTGAGTATCTAATATTCTCAATGTATAACAGCTACCATGCAAATTGTGATTAAAACAATGTTAAACAAGTGTCAAACAAAATAATTGAAGAACTAGAATTTGTCTTTCAAAATGGGTTAACACAGTCTTATCACACATCTCCTTGTATCCCAATGAAACTTATTCATATGTCATTAAATAAAAGCCACAAAATCCTTACAAAACAATGTATCTATATGTATGGTCCTGATGGCTTCTGAAGATATCTACATACATTACAATGTATTACAATTTATTGCTGTACATCCTTTTTTTTATCCACATCACTCTGTGGTATAACTCAAATAACTATATCACTGTGTTTGCATGATTTTTTATGTAGTCAGAATCCTACAATTGAGTATGCTTTTAGCAGAGATTTCTGATGAACATGGAAAGTGTTTTGTCGTTTTTATTTACTACATATATGTATCAACGTTCAATGGTATTCAAATAGATTTGTAAAACAAATACATTTAACACATTTTAATTTTCAAAATGTGGACACAAGATCATACGAACAAACCAGCCATATTAGAGGGCACCCTGACAGCACAACACTCACACCCACATCTTCTACATTATTTACCAAAACATATATTAACCTAATTTAGTTAAAAGTGTTCATAATATTAGGAAATCGGTAATCGAAACATAATCAGCTGAACACGACTAGACCAACATTGAGAAACTCCACATTTTCGTGCATTCCAATTGTACCGTTAACTGCTTAAAAAACATCAGATTCCACTGAGATGTGTATTTATTTCATATGTATTATACACTAGAAATAATTCATAACCAACCATTCAAAACCTATAACCTGGTAAACATGTAAACATGATCACTCGTTCAGAACAATACAACACGCGTTGCCCACAGTACAGAAAATTCCATATAGTGATAGTATCAACAAGCAATTCCTGCTTTTAGTGTGTTCCCGTTGCATAGGACGCCTTGATTACTCACTTGATAACAGCAGGTTCATCCGGGCGAAGTTTGATGTGACATTGAACAAAGAAATGGTCAAACTAAATTCATGATTGTGTAAAAACAGTCGCCACAGATATAATCATTTTAAAATCCTCGAAATATCAAGCAGGCGTATAAATCCATGTTGCCACTCGTTCGATTCACATTGAGCAGGCTGTCACAACATAAGACCTTTGACCTTTCTGTTCCGATTCCTACACCGCGTTAATTGCCCTGGGTGGGATTACGCGTAGAAGTGGATTACAATAAATGTAAGAGTAATCAAATCAGGAGAGCAAGAACATCAGCTATATTTGTTTGTTTAGAGATTACAGTACATATGTGATACAACTCGCACTATTTGAAGCGCGGAAGGATAACTCTGGCTAATTGTTCAGACTCGTTCGCGGTACGTCGTCTGCAAAGAGAACGGGTACTTGTAAAAGAAAGTCTGCATACATCGCTATGACGACAGTACACAAAGATTAAAACTTAGAGTATTATTAATTGGGATTCGTAAGACACTGCTTTATTAATGCATGTCATAAGCACGTACAAGGATGTTCAATATTTCGTGACTGGGCTGTGATATTGATAACTTCCACCCTGTCGGCATGACTCCGCGCTTGGAGACGGGACGCTCTGGTTAGCGTCGCCAAGTTGTGAGGCGGCGCATGAATTCAGGACGTGTTCTAGGATTTGAACGTGTTCTATTATATATGATAAATATTAAAAGTCAGTATTCGGGTTATGTCGCAACGACCAATCTGTATTAGCTATTTCACTTCAGTAATAGTAACTGCATGATCAACAATGAGTGGTTAGTAAAATGCTCGTTGATTGCATGGCCAGTAGTGTTCTTTGTTATTGCAGGACGTGAGAGTGAGAGGTATGACATTTCTTTACGCGGACTATCAGTTTCTTTGTCCGAAATTCCTCTCCATGGCACCAAACGGATATCTATATCTTGTTGGATTCCGAGTTCGAATCCAAAGTTCGCCCCAGATTATGATCCTTGCTTTCAGTTCGGACTTTCTTCCCGCATAAGCTTAATTGTGATAAAACTGAAATATTGCCCAAAGCGGCGTAAAACCAGTAACAACCCAACTCACCATTGAGAAATAGAATGACATGTATGTGGCAAGCAAAGAGTTAGAAAGACCCAAACAATGAATGTTTTGTATGTAATTTGAAAGTTGAAAAATGTGCATTATATTTTTGTAAGTCCAACTAGCACGTGTCAGATCGTGATGCTGCGTACCATCTGTTCACGCCCGACCTGCCTTGCAGGCAGCTAGCACGCTGCATGGTCTAGAGATCATGCAGTTATTAACGCAAGTATATCGACGCTCAGACAGCTGTGTATTCACAGCTGGTGCGGTACGGTTTTAGGTCGTTTGCAGTGACCCACAAATCTCAATGTCGCATGTGGTGTCCCGATACATGAAGCGCTGACTTTATGCTCTAATCGTGTGCATCTCCGAAGTTGACAGGGAAACGCCCAACAGGATTTCCCACATAGACCCTTAACATGTGGACAAAAGAATTAGTGACATATATAGAATAGGTCCTATTATAAACCATATGACATTCACTTGCATGATTCAAATGATTTTTTCCAGTCAGACCGTATTGTGAAAACAGTTCTATGGTATGGCTATACAATCAACGTGTGGATCACTTTGGTGACATTATTAATCATGTATGTTGTTGACTTGAGATTAGTGTAAAGTCTAGAGGTTAAATTCACTAAAAAGTATCTTGCACACGATTCACGGGTAATGAGTGAGTGAGTGAGTGAGTTTGGTTTTACGCCGCTTTTAACAATATCCAGCAATATCACATTGTACCCATGTCGGGATTCGAACCCGAGTCTTCGGCGTGACGAGCGAACGCTTTAACCACTAGGCTACCCGACCTCCCCGATTCACGGGTAAGGAGGCCCCTTTGGAAATGTACGTGCTATTTCATTGTTTCCGCTAGAGGGTACGTATCTCGGGCAAATTGGTATTATTCATATTAAACTAAAACTGTATATATATAAGTGAGTATATAAGCTGTGGATATTTCTATTCAGAGTGAGTTTGGTGAGTGAGAAATAGGCTTCACACATTGTACCGAATATGGGGAACGAACCCGGGCTTTCGGCGTGACGAGCGGACGCTTTAACCACAAGGCTACCATATATTAAAGTATCTGAATTATGTCGGTCGTAGCCCTAAGGTCGCTCGATTGGAACGTGTCCTTTATAATAATGGTACGCTCCGCAAAGCGAAAATGGCGTAATGGGATCGGGAGGTCCGGCTTGCTGACTTGGTTGAAGCATGTCATCGTGTCCCAATTGTGTGGATCGATGCTCATTATGTCAATTACTGGATTGTCTGGCCCAGACTCGATTATTTACAGACCGCCGTCATATAGCTGGAGTGCGGCATTAAACAACAACTAACCGACCAACCATAATCGAGTTGAGGAACGATCATCTCAGGAGAAATGGAACACATACTATATGCACAAAACCAAACATGGTGTGTCATCAAAACCCGAAGCAAAACCCGTGAAGATCCGGTGTAGAATAGGTCTTCAGCAACCCATGCTTGCCGTAACCAGCGACTGTGCTTGTCGTAGGAGGCGACAAATGGGATCGGGTGGTCAGGTTCGCAGACCTGGTTGATGCAGGTCATCGTATCCTAATTGTGGGGATCGATGCTCATTATGTCAATCATTGGATTGTATGATCTATACTCGATTATTTACAGTCCGCCGTCATGTAGCTGGAATATGGCCGAGTGTGGCGTTAAACAATAAACAAACGATCATTCAAACCTAATACAAGCTCCCATATACACGAGTGCAAACATAAACCATTCGTGTGCCACTAAATTATTCATACGACCCAGTGATATTTATTCATTATGTATGTAAGTTAAATATTATATTTATATTTGGATCCCAAGGATGCGTTGAGATCATCCTGACATTACACCCACACGTAAACCCGTGCTATAATAAACATATTCCCTGTTTAGCGCCTGTCTTCACTCAAGTCGACGTGCTCATGCATAATCAGTATACTTAACAGCAAAGTGCACTTGTGTTATGTATTATTCATGATTTTACTTCTGAAAGTATTACGTCACAATGACCTGATATCTGCCACCGTGACCGTGGCTTGCTGTTGAGGCTAAATGAGCTTATGTAAATAATATATACATGCTATTACAGCAGGTTTGGTCGAAATGACTAAGAAACAATTGTGTTTGCTCTGATTTTCTTTATTAAAATTATTTAAGTTGTGTCAGGCCCAAACAAATAATGAATGGACACATTCGTCACCACTCGCCCCTTTCCGTAACCTGCAAGAAGACTCGTCCCCCTGTCGATGAATATTATGTGCGAAAATACGACAAAACAATCAGAATGCGTGTATGATTTCAAGTTCTTCGTCAAAGAATCCCTCAGAAATATTTTTTTGATTTTACATATATCTTGCATCTAAAAATATACCCAAGACACAGTTAAATGTTTTCAATCAAACTGTATAATTCCGCATGTCCAGATGCATCTGAAATATATATAATATATGGGGAAATATATGTGAACCATGAGGCCTACGCAACGAATGGACAATTGCTTTAGGTATGCCCGTTTGCGCTAAGACGGAACCCGGTCGCAAAAATGGCCACGAGAGGGGCACGAGTCGCTATTCGGCTTGTCCCGGAATAACACGAGTTGGTCACGAATGGAATGGACAATAAATCGAATTTTACTAATTCCGTACAGAAGCTACAATTTCGTCAAACTTATTTTACGCAGGCTTACGTTGTTTATAGAAGCTTTTATTCGTCTGTCCTACGTTGCTAAACGATTGTAATCATTACTTTGTTTGTTCTTTAACGTCGCACTCCGCAATATTCGAGCTATATGAAGGCGGTCTGTAAATAATCGAATCTAGACCAGACAGTCCAGTGATACACATCATGAGCATCGATCTACGCACCTGGGATACGATGACATGCATCAACCAAGTCAGCGAGTCTGACCATCCGATCCCGTTACGACAAGAATGGGTTGCTGAAAAACAATTCGAACACGGAGCTTCACGGATATGTAGTCTGCAAATTGAAAATACAAATACAGCCGCTTGTCATAACTATAGCCGCCTTGGCGGAATTGTGATTCCAATATTTTGAGGACTAGCTGACAAATATGAAACATGTAACTAATTGTTTCAATCTGCAACAATGAATGTAATATGTGACATTGTATAGCAAAGACGCAACTGATTGGCAAAAGCAGTTCAATTTCCATTAAACAAACCTTTATGACTTACAAGCCTTATATAAAAGATAGGGTTCCAACTATGATGCCTTTCATAACCTAAAGTCTAAACTGGCTACCGATAGGACATAAAGTATTAGATAAATCAGTTGGCGGTTGCCTTTCCTTGAGACCTTCACCTCAGGCTTTCCTCGATCAAAACCTTTTCATAGGAGGAAACCTTCCTTGAAGCAAGATAGACACAATTTTATGGATAACAACTTCTTTAATACTGTAAAAAGCGACGTTTCGGCATAGATCCTTATACCGTTGTCAAGCAAGACCTTTCAAACGAAAGCGTCACTTAGCGTCACTTAGTAATGCCTATCAAACAACTTCCTTGAAGCAGTTGGCCATAAAAGACATTGACACGTTTTGATGAAAGTAAAACCATACAGAAAGCGCCGTTTACCTTTTGACCTTGACCTTTGATCGTCTCATGACATGCAACATTGAACTTGTTGTCTTTATCATTCATGTTTCCAGTCACTTTGCTACACGCTTTCTATAATGATGCTTCTCAGTTCACATGTATGTGTTTCTTGTGGAGACAAACATGCTTTATCTGAGTTTCAGCAAATTCGAAACCATATATTCTGTGAAAAGGGAGAAAAACTGCATGCAGATCAGGGTGTTTGAAAAACGTGATTCCTCTAAAAGAAGGGCCATTTAAAATGAGTTTACCCACTTTAGTCAAGCAGTGTTTTCAGAGAAGACGTTTTCTGAGCCCAGAAGGCAGTCAAAATTTCAATTCATGTTACAAATATCGCATAAACGGAACATCTACTGTGGGGAAAATAAGGGAATATAGGAATATATATATAGGGAAATAAGCTTTATTGTCAGTACATATGAATAGCGCGCAT